TATATATATATATATATATATAGTAAAACTATATAGAATGTGAAATAATTACAAAAATTAAATCAGATTGTCTATTTATCTATTTACACAAGTGATAAGACATGGTTTGTTGATCACATATACAATGTGTGGTTTATTTACATAACTTCCAATACGTGGTCTGCTCACACAATTCAGAATGCATGGTGTGTTTACACGATATATATGTGGTCTATTTATACAACATATAGTAAAAGGTCAGTTTACACAACTGATAATATGTGAGCTATTTGTATAAGTCACAATACGAGATTTGTATTCATGACTCACGTTACGTGGTGTATTCACATAGTTTACAATATGCAGTTTAATTATTATACAGCATGCATGCTAGTTACACTTTTCACTACATAATTTATTTGCAAAATCTACACTTTGCATGCAGCCAATTACAGACTTTTAAAATTGCAATTTATCTATTACTAGGACTTAGAAACATGTAACGTACTTTAAACGGAAATTAAATGCCATGTTTCTAACAATATACCAGCAATCGCCTTTCGATGTCTGGGGCATCATTTCGTAATTAGTTTAAGATGAGATCTGAATTTTATAAAGATTCCAGTTACATAATATATATATTTATACAATAATGTATTGTACACAATCTGAATAAATAAACAATCATGGTTCACTAGCGAAGCTTATGTGTAGAAGCTGAACATAGATGCAGCAAAATATTAAAGCTTCTCGTGTATAATAAGTAAAGAGAGAGAGAGAGAGAGATGTATATCGTAACTAAACTCTCGTATTAAAGAAATTACTCATTGTTGGATAATAAAATAACAGGTAAGTATAGATTTTAGAACAAACCTAAACAACGACATGAGTGAACAAGTATCTTATACTTCATCGCCTGAACAAAATAACTTACAACTAAATAATATTAAATTTTGAACAATTTGAGCAAATCCAATGTTTGTTTTATCATTAGGGTAAACTAGTAAGGGCAATACACTTCTCTGTAAAGTCGATCAGTCAAAATGAGTTACGAAGAAGGGAATAATGTATTGTACACAATCTGAATAAATAAACAATCATGGTCCACTAGCGAAGCTTATGTGTAGAAGCTGAACATAGCTGCAGCAAAATATCAAAGCTTCTCGTGTATAATAAGTAAAGATAAACATTTAATATATCATGTATACTCTGGTCTTACTGAAAACTCTGACCAACGGTATCGATCACAACGTCTTAGTTTTCTGAAAAAGCTGGGCACTGATATGTTTAATAATGATCCAGTTAAGCACTAATATGATTTAAAGTGTTTAATCAGATGATCCTTCGGAAAGAGTGAAATGCCCGCATAAACAAATAATACTACTAAAATTTCTAAACATGTATTAAAAATAAATCTATATAAACAATCGTTTTTCAGCCAATGTTTGCTTCGCCTGGAGCAAATCAGCGTTTTTGAGATGTACACACACCCACACGTATAACTAGCATGAAAAGATGTTTTTTGTTTGTTGTGAAGCTCAAAGCTTCGCAATAGACTATCTACGCTGTGCTCAACTCGAATTTTAGCGTTGTAAGTCCACAAGTTTAAAGCGGAGCCATTGAAGGGAGATTAATTTGACTGTTTAGGGATTGTCTAAGATCTTAAAGAGTTCTTTCGCTATTAGATTTCCACCTCCTTGGTAGGTAAATAAGTGTAATAAAGGGATTATCCAAATAAATATTTTCCTTATACAGATAGATCTTCAATATTAAACAAATTAAGTAACACAACTGATACTGTGTTAAAGGTCAGGTTAATTAATTCTTATGATATTCTAGGATATTTCAAAATATCATTCAATACTTATTACACTTGTTCCTCATAAAATATGAACGTAATAACAAAGCATCTCTAGTGACGTATTAATGAAATTCGAATGACTTCTGATAGAACTAAAGAATCACTGATGGTTTCTCAGAATGAGTTAAAACTGAAGAATATTAAAATTCTTATAAAAAACGAATAAAAAATATTTTCTCAACCTGTAGGCAATAAATAAAAAAATGTCAACTAGGAAAGTATTCAAACAGAAGAATACACTACAAGAACTAAGGCAGAATCCACTCAACACCAGAAATAAACAGGCTCATCAGAAATGGGCATCTTTTGTATGAATATATATATATATACAGTATGGTGAAGAAGTACTTACCAAGTACCATTGGAATGGAAAGTAAGGATCGTTAGGCTCTTTGGGCGGAACTAGGTTCTCAGCACCGAGCTTCAACTCACGATAGCCTCGCTTCTCTCTCCTGAAGCCAATCTGCTGAACAGCAAGCTCTACCTGCAAGATAATGAACACGTTCGTAAACAATATCTGGAACAGTTAGTTTAATTCTAAGATAACTGGGGCATTCGCAGGCATTAACCTGCTAAACAGTTACTTCTGTCACTAAGATAATGACAGTCACTCAACCTTTAAGAAAATGAAGACTTACAGGTTGTTAAATAGTTGGCCTCCAACATGATTAAAATAGGTCTTTTGAACAATCATCTCTATTTCCAAGATAATTAAAACTTTCGAAATTGGCTGTTGAACAGTGAGCTATTCTTGGGATATAGAAAGACTATTCCTAGATCGCATACTCAATAGCTAGCTATATCTTGTGACGGATTTATTATTCTATATTCATTTTAATATCGATGTTTGTTTAAATTAAATTTATATTTAGAAATGTACATAACTCATACTGTTAAATCTGTATTGCGAAACTCCCGCCTAATTAACAATCAACAATATATGTGTTTACGTAAACGTCAGTGTTAGCGTCAGTATTGTTACGTAAAACTGAAATTTCGAGAAACTCTCCACACGCCTATAAATATATCCAACGCAACGCGTCTGAAAAGAGTATCTATTATTGGTTTGCTATAGTTGGTGTGCTATACACTTCGTAAGTTATAACTGTGATTAACGCTTATTAATCGGAAAACTTCGGATATTTAACCAGGAACATTTATAAATTTCGAACATTACAAACCATTTAACTTCAGTGGATTCACATCGAATATTGTACAACTAGCTGTATCTATAAAATGACGGTAACTTCCTTAACTGATCTGTTTTATTATGGTGTGCGTGTGTTTCAGTTTCATCACTCTCAAAACTGACCTTATGTTTGGCTTAAATAACACTGTTTCTTTTACCCAGTTGATTTAATGGATCAGTACGTGCTTTCAGCAACTCAACCTGGATGTGAACTGATTTATGCAACGTCTTTTTCTTCTATTACCAAACGGTAGCTGAGAAGATTCTGACTTTCATGTAATTATGAAGATATGAAGCGAGAGTTAGCGAACACGGCCGATGAGAATAAGCAATTCTCCGAGGTATTAATTCTCATTCACGGCAGAGACGTCAACAGTTAGAAGTGTGGGGTCTAGCCTGTGAATGGTAATACATCAGGCCCGAACGTGTTTTCAGAGTCACTTTCGTATAAGCTTAATGCATTGTCTGAGTGTGACGTCATAACACAAGTCCTGATGTCAAGCGCTAATTACGAACAAGATCAAGTTACTCGTAAACTTCCTAAGTTTTTTGAGCAAACTTTTCTATGATGATTATTTACCTAATAAGAAATGAGGAACAAACGACTGCATGAAATATCAATTTACAAACACACATTTGTTTTCCTAGTATTCTACGTTTCAAGAAATAACCAAATTAGAACATAAACGTCGTCACTTGAAATCTTCTCAAACCCACAACACATAGCAAAATATTTCTGCCTTAGAACATTGTCTGGGTTTTTGTAAGGCTTGATTCTGAATCTGATTTAACAAGAGTTTGGTTGAACCACATATTTAAATAAAATCTTAACTAATGACAATTTCTGTGACATACTGATACCAAATTAGGATTTTCATAATATACCTTTTATATATTTATATAATGACAATATCTATGGCATATTGATATCAAATTAGGATTTTTAGAATATATCTATAATATATTTTCATAATGACGATTTCTGTGACATATTGATACCAAATTTGGATTTTAGAATACATCTTTAATTTAATTTATATAATGACGATATCTGTGGTATTTTGATACTGAATTAAGATTTCCATAATATACCTTTAATATATTTATGTAATGATAATTTCTGTAACGCTCCCCAGTGGCACAGCGATATGTCTCTGGACTTACAGCGCTAGAATCCGGGTTTCGATACCCGTGGTAGGCAGAGCACAGATAGCCCATTGTGTAGTTTTCTGCTTAATTACAAGCAAACAAACATTCTGTGATATATTGTTACCAAATTAGGATTTTTAGAATATATCATTTATATAATAACGATTTTTGTAGCATGTTGATACCAAATCAAGATTTTCCGTTTATATACTCTTTTTGCTAAGATGTTATGAAATCAGGATTTTCATAATATATCTTTAATTTCGTGTATATACTCTTCATGCCATGTTAATAGCAAATCAGGATTTTTAGAATATATCTTTAATATCATTTGTATAATGACGATTTCTGTGGCATGTTGATACCAAAGTAGGGTTTTAGAATATATTTCTAATATCATTTATATAATGATGATCTTTGTGATATATTGATACCAAATTAGGATTTTGGAATATATTTCTAATATCATTTATATAATGACGATTTCAGTGGTATATAGACACCAAATCAAGATTTTCCTAATACATCTTCAATTTCATTTATATATTATTTATGGTATATTGATACGAAATCAGGATTTTCATATCTTTAATTTCATGTATATACCCTTTAAGCAGCTAAGTAGGATAAGAAGAGTAAGGGGATGTCTCCGCTTGCAAGCGTTAAACATCCAACATAATCAAATGAAAAAAAAAAAGGAGGGAAAGAAATGAGTTACATTCATTTATTCTTTTTTTAACCTATCCATTTTATTTTCACCCTTTTTTGTAACGGGC